CAAAACATTATTTGTAGTAACTGGTAGTGGATACTTACAAATGTGATCAACGTTTTAAACAAGAAGGACAAAACCAACGAATTTGCCTATTGGTTAGTAAAATTCGAATATATGTACCTGGTGAAAGTTTCTGATGAAAAGGAATAAAACCTATGATACATTTAAACTTGCAATATTATAACTGAATGCAGTAGTCTAAAACATAAATGTAAAGTTTCAATCGGTACTCATCTTTGGAAGAATATATAACAAGTTTATTACATTTTCAGCAGTGAAATACTGTGATATATTTATTGGATAAAAGTGATATTCTCTCACAGTGTGAAAGGATACTAAAATGACATTCGATAACAGTGTGAAAGGATATCAAAGTAATTAAAAAATAATCTGGCCCTTAATAAGATAGAGATACCAACTTAACCATCTTGATAGAGACTAAAACTGCCAATTTTTTCCCAAAAATGTTGCTAAAATCCATGTCACAATGTTTTCAATATCACAACTGCTTTATGAAGCTATGACATCTCAACTATGACGTCACAGCCTATGACACTGTGTTGAGAAAAGACATATATAGGCAGCAAAAAGAAAATCAAAGAAAATGTAATAAAATAATAAACAGAAAAATCAATGTTTTGTAGTTGGATATGGAATTTATTTTACTCGTGAGACAGGATTTTTTTTTTTTTTTTGGTGGATATTTTCACTCTTGATTCGCACTCGTAAAAATATAAAAAAAAAAATCCTGCCTCACTCGTGAAATAAATTCCATATTCAACTACAAAACATTGAATATCCTCTTCTTATAACACAGCAAATTATAACTAACTATCTAAAGCAAAAAGTACAAAAACCTTCAAGAGAAACATAATAATCAATACAGGCGACACAAGGCGACATGGTGCAGCAGTTGAAGAAAGGCAACCCAAAACATTTTTTTTAAAAAATTCAGAAGACGAAATTCTTCAGCATCAAAAGTTATAGTTTTTTCGAGCACTTTTGGGAACCTTGCTAACGATTCAACATCTACATATGTTTTTATTGCTACACTCCAAAAGAAATTAAAACATGTATAAGCAAATAAAAAAACAAACAAACAAAAGCCCAGGAAACGACCAGTTTCATCATCGACATAATTTACCTCATTTTAGTGTTTCTTTTCAGCAAAATTTTTCAATAAAAAAACTTGATCAGGCCCCAGGATCATGAAACATCTTAAGCTTAAGTTGAAACCTTATTTTATATTAAAATGTTGTAGAAGTCGAGCAGACCAAAATTAAACTTTTTTTCAATTTTGCTTCACAGAAGAGTTGTTTTTTGAAAATTTAGAGATTAATTCAATATTTGATAAACATTTTACAGGCGATATAAAATCTGACTTAAGTTGAAGTCTATTTCTTGATCCTGGGGACAGATATCCATATCTCCTAACCAACGTGCACTTGATCCATGAGGTTTATACATGTATCATCTTTGATTTTCTAGATGCTCTCCTTTATCAGAGAAAAGTTTTGTCCAAAGAAGAAACATCAAATCTGTTTGAACAAATATGTAATTCGCTAAATTGTACAAGTAAATATCCAGGTTGTCCGAACAATTCCGAACAAAAACAATTTAATCTTCTTCTAGCGTATACTTAATTCGTCCGAAGAAAGAACTTATTTATCCACAGAAATATTTTGTTCGTCCGAACGAAGAACTAACCTGTCAGAACCATTATCTTCTTTGTCAGAACAAATATCTAATTCACCCGAACAATTATAATTCTTTTCTGGGCATCAAAGGCACCATACTATTGCATTATTAGAAAAGTTGTTGCCTTCATGGAGTTTTTTAAATGTAAATTTCGTTAGCGTTATCGAGATTCTAAAAATTCAAAATGTATTTATTAAGTTTATTACAATGACCCAGAAATTTTCGAAATGCTTATTTTGTTTGAGGTTGTTGAAAGGTGTGTAACATCTATAGATTTGTCGGTATCCTGCCTCTGTTAAAAAGTTGATTGTACTCAACCGTGTTCTAGCGTATTGAATATATAAGTTAGGAGACATTAAACCATATGCAGGCGATAATGGAATATTTAAGGAATGTTTTTAAGTTTTGTGTGAGTTGTTGGTGTGTAAATCACGTAGGCATATTTCATGAAGCGCGCGTTCACAGTTGGCTTAGTAGAAAAACACAGCAAGTGTAAATATTACTACATAAATACATTCAAGAAGTTGGCAATGGAAAAGCCGATTCTGAGGTCATACCGTTTGTGTTAGTTGGCCATAAATAGTCAGTATAATATCGAAAAATGAAACGGATGATAAAAAAGATTAAGACTAGAATTTTTGCTATTGTGCTTTACACAACGATCCATACATAATGATCACCAGACGGCAGATTTTCTACCTCCCGGAAAAAATGTACACGTTAGTTAACTCGTTCGTTGTGTGAAAAAGTTTGTCCAACCGTTTCCATGGTAATGGAAACAATTTCAAAAATCTTAAATGTAAATGCATTTATGAATTTTTATAAAGATTGTCCAAACCAACCGTGAGGACATTTGTTGACATTTTTTTATTGTTTCCATGACAACGGGGGCAGTGAAAAAATCAAAATATTTAATGAACATCTAGAGTTGCTGATCGTCATTTCTGAAAAGTTTTATTAAGTTTGTCTAAGTTATCTCCGAGAAAATACTCGGACAAAATAACATAATAACAGATTTAACCAATCGCCACTGTGACGTATCTACTGAGTAATTTTAATTGTGTGCTGAAAACACAATAGGTATAATAAAAAATAAACACATGTAATGCTGTTAAATGCGTTTTAATTGCTTGCTCGTCCGGTGTAAATCAGAAAAACGCAAGAGAATTACCTCTAGACCCAAACCTTTGCATCAATCATCTATTTTCAACTTTGTATCACTCTATTGGGATAGGGGTCATTTTTCCCGGGGGTCAATTTCTTATGGGTTGCATATCATTATGTAGATAACTGACCCATAGAGTTCTTTTCTACAAAAAATTACATTTTTCTACGGTTAGGGGGTGATTTTTGATAACCCTCGGAAATTTTTCTACGGGGGTCATTATTAGTCTTTACAGCGGCAGACTTTATAAGGATTTATATAAAGAAAATAAAAAAAATCGCAAATTTTAATATGCTTCCTATTTCGGATAAAGTTCTACCGTCGATGGTTTGAACTTTCATAATATCTTCTACAGGAAATGACAAGATTGTTGACACCAAAGTAAAAGCTGCGACCGCTTTTTTTAATTGAAAATTTGAAGCGAGGATTTATAATTGTTTTATTTAAGGAAAGAGCAAGTAATTACCGTTTAAAAATTTTTTATATTTATATTTCCAAATATCTTTCCTTAAGATTCTTTGCAAATGAGAAAAATTCATGTTCTCAAGAACTATCGTGGGATGAGTAAAAATATTTCCATTGAGATGTGATTGAAGTCCAAAAATAGTGCAATCTTTTTTTTTTTAAATGATCGTTGAATGACAAAAATATGTGGCAAGTCATTAGAAAAAAAATGTAAATATAAGATATGAATTTAATTTTTGAGAATTCTTGAGGAACATGAACTACAACGCTTCACGCCAGCATATTTATCATGAAGCGCTAATGCGTTTCATGAAATATGCAGGCATGAAGCGTCGTAGTTCATGTTCATATGCATTCTCAAAAATTAAATTAATCTCTTAAATGATGAAATGTAAGTGTATATTGCAAGTAGACAGAGTTCTTCTGCCGATTTATAGGTGCAAGAGAAAGCCCTTTTTTATCAAATGCAAATAGATACATTTATGGAACTCTATTCTGTAATGGTCAATATCTGCACCCCCCCCCCCCGGCACCAAGCTAAAAATAAAATGGATAAATCCTTAATAATGTTCCTAACAAGGGTAATATTTGCAGACGTCAAAGCTCTATATATTTATCTCAGCAGCTATGACGTCAAAAGGATATTCAAAATTTCAATGTTTTTGAAAGAAAATAGTGTATTTTACACATACATTATGATTGGAAAATGTTCATATGGTCACCCTCCGATATCAACAAATATAGGTGAACTAGAGTGATCGGAGGTAATCTTTGTATTAGCATTACATTATCTATTGAAGGTGTTCAGAGTTAACTTATTTTTGTGTTATAATATCAGAGGGTGACCAGAGGTAATCTTTATATAAGCATTAATATATCATTCATACTGATCACAGGTAACTCTTGCCTTTGCATTACATTATTTAGGAAGGTGTTCAAATTTCACCTATATTTGTGTTATGACGAAAGGTAATCTTAATATAAGCATTATTATATAATCCCGTAATGAGCAGGGTAACCCCTTTTTAGCATTACATTTTCTATGGAAGGTGCTCAGAGTTCCCCATACATCTGTGTTTTGATATCAGAGGAATCTGTTGGAATTCCCATGGGTACCAATTGCATTCCCTTATTAGCAGACCTATTTTTGTATTCATATGAAGCAGAATTTATTCAAAAACTTCTACATGAGAAGAAGAAAACAGTTGCTGTGGCCTTCAACTCGACATTTCGATATATCGACGACCTATTATCAATTAACAATAGTTACTTTCATTCAAATGTCGACTCGATATATCCCAGTGAGCTTGAAATAAAAGATACTACAGATTCTGACACATCTGTTTCATATTAAGATACTTTACTAGAAAAAGACATTAATGGTAACGTAACAACAAAGTTTCATGACAAATGTGATGACTTCAACTTTTCAATCGTCAACTTCCCTTATTTATGTAGCAATATACCCTTATCACCTGCATATGGGGTTTATGTCTCTCAGTTGATTCGATACACAAGAGCATGCTCTACGTATGAACAATTTCTAAAACGAGGAAAGCTATTGACAAACAAGTTAATGAAACAAGGATATCAACAGTCTCGTTTGAAGTCATCATTTCGCAAGTTTTACGGTCGATACAATGACCTTGTCAGCACATACAACCTATCTTTGAGTCAAATGCTGACTGACGTTTTTCATACTAATTGTTATGCCATTATTTATACACTGAACTGTCTACAGATTTTTCCGTTTTTTGTATCCCGATCATGACAAGGAGCACACGGCGGGTGTGACCGGTCGGCAGGGGATGCTCACTCTTCCACGGCACCTGATCCCACCTCTAAATTTTGAGGTCTGTGTTTGCTCTGCTCCAAATTTGTATTGTTTCATTGGACTTTCGAGATTGAATACTGTTCGTTATCTTCATATTTCAGGGTATCCAGAGAGAATCTTCAGGTAAGCATTAATATGTCATCCTATAGTGAACTGAGGTTACCCTTATTGACTCGATATATCCCGCTTCAACTTGAAATAAAAGACACCACAGAGTCTGCCATATCTGTATCCTATTTAGATGTTTCACCGACTATAGACAATAAGGGCCAACTAACAACAAAATGGATGACAAAGGAGATGATTTCACCTTTTCCATCGTCAACTTTACTTATATCCGCTATCACCTGCATATGGTGTTTACATCTCCCAACTCATTGGATACTCAAAAGCATGCTCTGAGTAAAATAATTTTTAACCAAGGCAGGCAACTGACAGATAAGTTGTTGTTACTGGGATTTCAACAACCTCGTTTAAAGTCAGATTTCTTACATTCTGTGGTCGTTATAATGACTTTGTTAGCAAATATAACCTATCAATGGGTCGTATTTTGACTGACGTGTTTCATACAGTTTTAGGCCTTTGTTTTTATACTAAATTTGACTACTAATTGTTCCGTCTACCTGATCAATTCATAGGGCTCACCGCGGGTGTGACCGGTCAACAGAGGATGCTTACGCATCCTAGACACCTGATCCACCCTCTGGAATTTCCGGTGTTTCGTGTTTAATGCGTTATTCACAGAGTTATATTAGTTGTAGATTTTTTTTGAAAATCGATCAGCGTTTGTTATTTCCAACTTTTTCATTATATAAGGAATGTGTCAAGATTTCATCTACATTTGCGTAATGATATCAGAGGTTGACCAAAAATATCCTTAAACAACAGATAGGATATATTGTGTGATGTTTGTGAGTCTCATGAATAGTTGAATATAAAAAACAACAAATATATACCCTGGTCAGCTTGGGAAAATATATCCATTATGCTCTTATATCACATAATGCTGAATTGTTAGTTTGATCAAACATATATATATATTCTCCTCTGTCCGTGTTTATATTAGTATTATATAGCAGTGTTACATATTGTTTTAACAATTATATTATATTAGGTAATATATTCTGTGAATACCTAAAATCCTTGTCTGTACATAGGTACATCTAGATAGAACTGGAACTTTGGAACATTTTATCAGGGGTTCCCCCCCCCCCTCCATTTAAACTCTCTTAGAGACTTGATTTCTTTAATATTTGCTTTACACGTAATTATTACTGCTATCTCTTTAAGATGAAAAGTCCCTCTAATAAGAGAGACAACTTTCCAAGGAATTTATTCCAAGCAATCAAATGTTTTGTCTTAACTGAGTATATTAATGAGGACCATTAGGTAGACAATTCTATCAAATATGGATTATCTTACAAATATCGATTTCTGTTTTCTTTTGCCAATATTTTTGATAGTTACTTATAATATTTTACCTAAAACATTTGCACTCAGTTCCTTTGAAGTGTTAAAATTGAAATATTTCTATCTCTCAATATACAATTTTTTTTAATATGTATCAGTTACAGAATTTTCATAATTAATTTAATAATAATTTTTTTTTTCGTAAAAAATATTTTGAAGAAAGATAACTCCTGTAGATGGAAAGCTAACTCTTGTAGATGGATGCACTTTTTTTTACAAGCACAGAAAACAGTGTGATACTCTGATTTAAAAAGCAACGCTTCATAATGTTTTCTAATATGAATTAAATATGTATGACAGTAAATATAATTTTAATATATACCTCAAATTATTGGTCTTTCCATTCACTGTCTCAAATTTTCTTCATATTATGATTAGACATAATACCGTAAAGCGGGTTTCTTTAGCGGGTGTAAAATTTGGCGGTTTCCTTGCTCAAAGGTATGCCAATAATTTTGATGGAACTTTTTTTGGCGGACACAGAGTACTATGATGTTGAAAAGAGAGGATAATCATCTTCTAAATGAGTTTTCAGTACGTTTAATAGCAGTACTATGATGTTGAAAAGAGAGGATAATCATCCTCAAAATGAGTTTTCAGTACGTTTAATATACGTTTGAATACACATTTAGGCAAGAGTTTGAGTAATAACAAATACCAGATGAAAGGAGTATTTTTTAACAACAGACTAATCAAAGTTATTTTTCTCGTATACAATAGTGCAAATTTAACGATTAAAATTCTAGCATCCTTCTTCACAACCGCTAAAATAAGCCAAAGTTAGCACCCCACTAAAAATTCCCGCCGTACGGTATTAATTTCTGAAAAAGTAGCAACTCTTTATACTTCAAACTATTTTCCATTTGAATCTCATGCTATTGTTGTTGATGAAAATCAATGTTGGAAATAAAAAAAAAATAGTGAAATTTAGAGCAGAGGGATTTTTCACCTTAAGAATTATTTGAATTGATATTGAATTATTATTTTTCAGATTCATGCATTGTTGTTTTTCCTGAAATGGTGAATGCGACATTTCGGAAATTTCTCAAAAGGTGTGCAGTTATTGCTGTCATTTTTGCCATGTGTCGGTACATAGAATACCGAATGACTACTTTGCCATGCAAACAAATGGGAAGACTTTACCATATCGCATCCAAACCTTCAACTCCAGTTCTTCTAAAGCCAGGCCCTAAATGTCTCGTTCATGACTTTGATTGTCAACGCATAATTGAGGGGGACCAACAGTACATATCAGTCGTGAATGAGACAATGTCAAAGAGAGCATACAAATTCCAGACAGATAGAGCAATAGGAGATTTGGCTCAACACTGTGAAAATTTCTTTAAAGTACATGATTATAACTCTTTCGTCGTATCAAATAATGAACTTGACTTCCCGATTGCTTATACAATATTAACTCACAAGGATGCCACACAAACAGAAAAATTGCTTCGAACTATTTATCGACCGCATAATATTTATTGTATACATGTGGATAAGCATTCAAATACTACTTTGTTATACGCCTTGAAATCCATCTCGAATTGCCTTCCCAATGTTTTCATTTCTTCAAAATTAGAGGATGTTGTATACGCCGGATTTTCTCGACTAAGGGCGGACTTGAACTGTATGTCTGACTTACTGAATCAAACAGCCATAAAGTGGCAATATGTCATCAATTTACCATCCCAAGTTTACCCCTTGAAAACGAACTCAGAAATAGTTAAGATTTTGAAAATTTATAATGGCATAAGCAGCATTGAGAGCGTTTACGATGAGAAATCATATTATCGATGCAATGAATCTTACTCGGTGAAAAACGGTAAAATGGAGGCAACAGGAAAGAAAAAGGACCCACCACCTTTTAACATCACTGTAGGAAAGGGAAGCGCTTATGGTGTTTTTAGTTGGAGCTTTGTGAATTATACAATAAATGATGACAAAGCTCAGGTTATTTTAAATTGGTTATATGACACATATAGCCCTGACGAATTCTTTTGGGCGACGCTGGCTAGCAATAAACATCTAAATGTCCCAGGTGTATTAGGTATGTTACAGGAATATACATAAGTTATTCAAGTTTTCTACTCAAGTTATTCGGGTTTTCTACTCATCCATAATTCATTATCAAATGACACCTTAAATTGCGCCTAGCTTTTAAAATTCTGCTGAAATGCACATTTTCCCCCTTGACAATATGACTCCTCTATGAAATACTGAAGTATAGGATTATCACAGGAAAGCATCCCTTAGGCATCGAAAAATTATTTTGCAGCAAGTTTTTCTACACAATCTTACTAAAGATAAGCCTTCTTGCAACTGTATACTTCTGAAGCTTTTCTTGTTTGACTTTATGACTTTATATATATATATATATATATATATATATATATATATATATATATATATATATATATATATATATATATATATATATATATATATATATATATATCACTTTATGGTAAACTGACCTAGACAAAAACGTTCTTAAATAAGGTTTCTGACCACGCATAGTCTGACTGCTAAATGCGCAAGGAGCATCTGCTATACTACATAATTTCAAAAAATATTTCATTCTTAAAAAATGGAATGAGGAAACGTTACTTCTAAGATGGCAAGGGGTAAAGAGAAAAAAAAAGAGAAAAATGATGTATTTGCAAAATTGATAACACTTGGAAGTATGAACCTTACAAAGAGTTAACTTGTATTCTTGGTGGATCGAGAAAATACAATTCTCAGAGAATGAAGGTTTCTGTTTACTTTGTGTTTTTATATCTATCAACTGAAAAGATTGGCAACTCACTCGTTTAACTGAATATTAACATTTTATCATTATACAAACTGTATACGAACTGTATTTGATATTTTGATTTACTACGGTAAACTATGTTAATGATACGCTGAAATACGTTGTTAATTGAAACCCTAATGGAGTGGGAATCTTTTGCAGGATTTCCAGACAGAAAATTATGGATAGCAGCAAGTGTGACTTGGCAGGGGTCAATAGATTGCCATGGAAAATATGTTAGAGACGTCTGTGTGTTTGGAATTGGCGATTTAAATAAACTAGTATCAGAAAAAGAATTATTTGCCAATAAGTTTTATCATGACTATCAGCCCCTAGCACTGCAGTGTATGGAAGAATGGTACCTCAATAAATCCTTCAGTCCAGTGCGTTTGGAAACTTACCATTATAGGAAAATTATTAATTCGATAAACAATATTTAGTTTTGCATTCTTAACAGAGGACGGAATATTGCAATGGTTTTTATGTTTGTTTTAACACTGTTGAAAACATTGATTTAGGATACTAATTTATATGTAATGTTTTAGATTGAGTTCGATTTTGTGTGCTTCGATGTATTTTAGTATTTATAACTATTTATAATTATCAACCACACAATATATATTGTATTCACATATGCTACTTTGTAATACGCCTTGGAATCCATTTCAAACATCTTTCCAATGTTTTTATTGCATCAAAATTAGAGGAAGTTGTATACGCCGGATTTTCTCGACTAAGAGCGGACTTAACTGCCTATGTCTGACTTGCTGAATCAAACTGCCGTTAAGTGGCAATATGCCATAAATTTACCGTTCCATGTAAAACTCTCGAAAACAACGCTGAAATTGTTAAGTTAAGATTTTTGAAAATTTATAATGTCAGAAGCAGTATTGAGAGTTTTTACGATAATATATATCATATTTTAGATGCAATGAATCTTATACTGTGAAAAACACGAAAATGGAGTTAACTGAAAGAAAAAGGACCCACCACCTTTAAACATCATTATAGAAAAAGGAAGTGCTTATGGTGTGTTTAGTGGAAGCTTTGTGAATTATACAATAAATACTGACGAAGCTCAGATTATTTTAAATTTGTTATATGACACATATAGCCCTGACGAATGGACGACGCTGGCTAGCAATAAAAACTTAAATATCCTTGGTGTACTAGGTATATTAAATAAATACAATATCTTGCCTCGTTTTAGAAATTGTACGTACATAGAGCATGCTCTTGCGTATCGAATTAACTGGGAGACATAAACTCCATATGCAGGTGATAATGGTGTATCGTTACATAAATAAGGGAAGTTAACAATAGAAAATTTAAAGTCATCACGTTTATCATTAAGTTTTCTTGTAAGATTACATTGAAACACAAGAGGTCAATGGCCCACATCGCTCACCTAAACGCATTGGCTAGAAAGAAGCAGAAATCAGTTCAGTAATGAACGGGGGGGGGGGCAAACTTAAATGTACACTACCTCAGGATGCTTCCATATCAATATTATTTATAATGGCTTAGCTGTTCTTAAACAGATGAATTTAAAAGATTTTTCCCCTGTGTATTCCTATGTAAAACTCTGATCGCTCATTGTGGCCCCACCCTACCCACCCTAAATTTGAACAAATTCGACGAATCTACACTACCTAGGATGCTTCTTTAAAAATATGACTAATCACGACCTTGCTGTTCTTGAGCAGAAGATTTTTTCAAGATGATTCCTGTATATTCTTGTGCAAAACTTTGACCCTCTGTTGTGCCCCCAACCCCTGGGATGTCAAAATTTGAAAAAAAAACTTGATTCTACAATACCTAAGGTTGCTTCTGCATAAATATGACTAATAATGGCTTAGTTGTTCTTGAGAAGAATATTTTAAAGATATTTCCTATGTAACGTGTATGATCAGATTCTTACAAGGGATATATAGTTTTCCTTTTACTCTGTCTGAATTAATGATTGGAATGATTATTTAGACAGCTCTGTCTGAGGCTTAATCACACAGTACTTAAATTTTCTCTTATCTAGAGACGGGAACAGAGTAAGGTACTACTTGCACCGTGTTTCCCCCCTAGGTTCCCATTATAAGAACTGGGTGTCAAAATCTTCTTCAGATTTACTACACCTAGAACTTAACATCAATTCCCTACGATACTTGCCATTGGTGTTTATAACTTTTATACTTTTATTTTGCTCTTACCCGTAACTTCTTTATTGCTGATTCAACATCCAACTTCTTCAGCTAGCTTCTGAATGCCTGAATTTCCCAAAGCTTTGCCTTATATACCCTTCAGTTTGGCTTGTCCATTCCAAGGGTTGTCAGGTCATTCCACTATTTGAAGCTTTCCATGCGTTTTATTCAATTGCCCCTTAACCATTACACGTATATATTCCTATGTAGAACTTTGACCCACTGTTTTGGCCCTGCCTCACCCCCGGGGGTCATGATTTGAACAAACTTGAATCTACACTACCTGAGGATACTTCTGTATTAATATTGCTAATAATGGCTGTTCTTGAGAAGAAGATTTTAATTCAAAGATATTTCCTATATGTTCCTATGGTAAACTTTGACCCCCTGTGGTGTGCCTGCCCTACACCCAGGGGTCATGATTGGAACAAACTTGAATCTACACTACCTGAGGATACTAATATTATAATATGACTAATCATGGCTTTGCTGTTCTCGAGAAGAAGTTTTTTAAGACATTTCCTATATATACCTATGTAAAACTTCGACCCCCTCTTGTGGCCCCGACCTACCCCCCGGGAGTTATGATATAAACAAACTTAAGGTACTCAATGTATAACGACCATTTTTTGTACCTAATAAATGAATGGTCCAATTTTTAAATCATGGTAGCATTTTGAAGGTGTTATCAAACGAAAATACTCCACCAAAGGAATTTACCAAATTTTGATTATTGTACAGTTAATTGTACCTTGAAGTTAACATTGAAGTCTATGGGCAGCACACATGTTATTAAGATATTGTAAAAGTAATTTGAATTTCATACAAATCTCTTGGTGAATATTTGCATAAACTCTCTCTTTATTATAATATGAAATAAAATGAATCATTCACCATAGATATTTTGAAAAAAGTACAATTTTCTTCTTTTCATCAAGGGCAGATAACTCTTCAAAAACTTTTAAGGTGCAAAATGACTGGCTTCTTACATGTTATCTGTCATGTGATTTTGGTTCAGTTCACTTTCATCGTTATCTAGCGATGCATTTTTAACTAGTTTAAGATGATTCAAAATTGTTCAAAATCCCTTCATTATACATTAAATATCTTAAATCTAGAGTATGTTATGAAGCTTTCGTATAAGTTTCATTTTTTTTTTCTTGCCTAGTGGTTCTTGATAAGAAGATTTTTAAAAGATGCCACTAAATTTTCACGAATTCTTAATTATCTCCCCTTGAAAGAGGGTGTGGCACTTCCTGTGATCAAACCTCAATCCCCTTCACCCAATGATGCTTTGTGGCAAGTTTGGTTGAAAATAGGCCTAGTAGTTCTTGAGAAGTCGAAAATGCGAAAAGTTTACATACGACAGACGGACGCCGAACACTCTTTAATCAGAAAAGCTCACTTGACTCAAGTGAGCTAATAATAATTTAATCAAACATATGCCATTCTTCAAAGTACACTATAGTCACGGTAGCTCAGTCGGTAGAGCGCTAGCTCCGTGATCGGAAGGTCGTGAGTTCGTATCTCGGCCGCGACTGACCTAAGTCGATAAAAAATAGGTAGCAACTGTTCCTTCGCCAAGCGTTCGACACTTTGAAGTGAAAGTTGCGGGTCCTTCGGATGAGACCTTAAAAACCGAGGTCCCGTGTCACTGCAGGCGTTGGCACGATAAAGATCCCTCACTGCTCAATGGCCCTGAGTGCTGAGTAAAGGTCAAAATTTGAAGCCCTTCACCGGTATATGGTGACGTCTCTATATGAGTGAAAAATTCTCGAATGGGACATAAAACAACATACAATCAATCAATCAAAGTACACTATAAAGTTCCCGTGAATAAATGTGTCCACGAACATTTCTAATAACCCACACATTTTTATACTTTGCAAGATTTGTGAAAATAAACACTCTAATTATATGAATACGTGTTACGTTTTATTTTAGAAGTTTCTTTATTTTCGATAAAAGACTCGCTTTGGTCCTCAAAGCAAGGTAACAATGAATTTGTCCAAACAATATAAATGACTTTAGTAATGTTATAGAAAGTTTATTTACAGTAAATGTATTTTTAGTCAATTTAATGATAATACAAAATTTAAAGTACGAAAGATCTGTAATTTCAAACACCCTCTTCCTCTTAAGTCTGGAATCTAAGATGTGATATCTAAACAGAAATCAGATGGCGTATTTCAAGAGGTGTCAGAAATTAACTGGGTTATGCTTAAATGTCAACTAACAATGAACCAAAATTTCTTAACATTGTATTTAGATGAATTATTTTTCCTTTCTAGCATTCCTAGATCATAAATATTCTTAAGAAATTAAGCATATTAGCTAATTTTGCTATTTGCTATCTTTTTTATCATGTGATTTAAGATTACATTAGTATTATTTTATTTATAAAAATCATATATTGTTAGTCTATAGTGTAGATTCTTTATTTTACGCGGGTACTTAATATCGCGAAATGGCCCTTAAACGACAGATCGCGAGAACAATAATTCGCGAATGGATGGTTGATCAACTGATATTACATGGATTTCAGCACAATAAAAATAAAAACGAGTAATTTTATTTCGTGAGAGATGCTTCTCGCGTAATTACGCGATAATGAATTCCTCGCGTATATTTAGGAATCTACAGTATTGTTATTTGGAAGATGCTTCTTTGAGCTCCATAACAATGAAGAATAATGTTTTCTTTGGGAGGAAAATCTGATAATTCTCAGACCGTAAGTTTAACTGTTGATGAATTTATTTTATTTAAGGAAATTTAAGACTTTTGTTAGAAAGTATCTTTCTTGCATCAAGAAATCAAAGCAGAACAGAGTATACCAATAGATACATATATTTTAAAATATATTATGGAATTTGGATAACAACATAATCTGAATTTATTCTTCATATTTCATATTCATTTTTATAAATATCAAATTACTCTTCTGTATAATGGAAAATTAAGAATGTGGGACATTCAAGAAGACTCGAAAACACATTAAAAATTGAATTTAAAAGGGTTTTTTACTGGAACTTTGTTTTGCAACTTAACGAGGATCACTTAGAAAAATTATTCTTTTAATGTATATTTCCGCAAAGAAAATTACATTGCATACTAATTATTTTTTTCTAAGCCTAATTTGTAGCGGCTGAACATTTAAACAAAACAAAAAAAAACAAACAAACAAACAAACAAACAAAAAGAAAAAAAGGAAGAAAGGAAGGAATTAATAGCACTCAGAGATCATGGAAATGAGAGTTAGTAAACTGTTTAAAATTGAATTTTTTTAGACCCCTTTCTATCGTGTAGAGGAGTAGAGCACCATTTACATTATTTAACTTTTAATTTAAATTACACTACAAAC